AAAAAATGGTCTTTTGTTGATATACTCCACTTTTGTTTTGTTTTGTCAGAGATGGGTGTCCCATTGCTATTAGAGAAGCTGTATTTGAACAAGTTTTTAAATGACCTTTTCATACTTGATGCCAGTTCAAATATTGCAGGTACTTGAATCAGCAGAATGACTCAATATAGTCTAATAGTCCATAATAGTAGTGGGTTATCAGCACAGTTGCAAAAGTCTGAGTTGTAGACTTGAGTCTTTTATAGCTTAGCATATTAATATGGCTTTACTTTTTATGCCTTGTGGTTATACTTTTCTGTTGGTAAACAGAGTGAACCAGCCTACCTGGAAAACTAAAAGTACAAAAGGGTAAGTGTTCAGAGAGAACTTAGGGGAATTACTTTAAGTAAAAATTCCACATCTAGTATCTACTTAGCTATTCAGTCATAATGTTCGACCTTAGGGTCTAAACTGCAAACCCATTAGATACAAACGTCTGCCAACTGCTAAATCTCACTATGCAATATTAGTGTTGCTAATTATACTTCTGGAAATACAAAACTGTAACTGCCTTAACAACATAATGTCTCTTGGGTAATGATATCATAAGTGCTAAGGTAATAACTGTACCAAAGCTATACACAAAGCATCAGAAGACAGTGCATATAATATGATAAAGAAAAGCCGCAAAATGCTTTCTCAGCTCTGTACACACACAGAACAAAAGCATGAGACAAAAGCATAGAAGAAATAGGAAATCACACACCTGAAATAATAATAGCATCTGAAGTAAAGAAACAATTGCAGAGAAGTATAGAGGAAATCAGATCAGAAATAATCTCTGAAGTAAAAAAAGAAATTACAACTCTAATGAAAGAATTACTAAGTGCAAGTAAAGAAGACACAGATTAAAAAAGAAGAGAATAGAAAAATTACAGAATCCTTGAATGAGTAATACAGAAAAGAAATAAAATGCATGAAGCAGAATCAAAGAGATATGCAGGAATTTAAAAGCAAAAATCACAAACTGGCAAAACTGTTTGAATGAAAGTGAAGACAAAGTTTCACACATTGAGGACACGGTTGCAGTTAATGAAAAAGTAAGAAAAAAGTTCTCTTAAAAACAACTAGGATGCAGGAAAAAAATAATTCAACATCTGCAAGACAACACAAAGATGAACAATGTGAGAGTAATAGGTATCAATGAGAAAGAATAAATCAATACAAATGATGCTAAAAGAATATGGGAAAAATTAATAGCAGAAAACTTCCCAAACATGGGGAAACAATGTGACATACAAGTAATTGAAGCATA